ATCTTTGTCTAAAAGTTCATCAGTTATACATACACTTCGAAAGATGTGAGAAAATAGTAAACACACACATGCACACGATTACTGGTTTGTTTCAGGTTTTCAAGTCAAAAAAAGCTGGGAAGCAAGAAGAAGAAGAAGAAAAACGACAATATGTCGACGATGCTATTCCTTGCTCTTGCTATTTGGGCGAACGAGCGAGCGGACGGGGCGGATGAAACAGCGAAGAGAAAGCTTGCCCGACTGGCAGTAACAGCAACCGAGAAGAAAAATTCTGTATGTATGAAGCGGTAATAGGGTAGTGAAGAAGAAGAAGAAGGGGAAAAACTGAAGAGGGAAAAGAACGATAGTAATATGTAAAGGAAAAGATCTCCATTCCCGAACGAGAAATACAGAAAAAGAAGAAGAAAAGAAAATAGAAAAGAAGACGAACACACATTGGGCTTCGGGTTCGGACGAGTCAGTCAGCAATGATGATGCGATGCTGATGAACAGCTCTATTGTTGATGATAATTTTTTGCGTTCCTTTCTTTCCATTACATACTATTGACGATGAATGCTTTCGCCTCCGTTTCTCTCGCGTTCGCCTTTCTATAATCATAATACTAGTAATGCGAACAGGAATCGTTTTTTTTTTGAAAAAAAGAAGAAGGAAGAAGAAACACGAGAAACGATGGCTATGTTTCTCTTTCATTGGCCGCTAACCGAGAGCTCAAGTCGTCGATGAGAAAGAAGAAGAGAACGGGAAGTAATGATTATTTGGTGCGTCAACAACGAACACTAAATAGAGAGATAGAGAGAAAAAAGAGCAAGAAACGCGCTTCGATGCATTAAAAACGCATATATACAGACATACATCAGTATGGCGTCGTCCTTATCTATTTCTCCTTCTTTTGCAGTTGTGTCTGTTCTTTGCCAACATTAGTAATAGAAGAAAGAGAAAAGAGAGAAAAGTAATCAAATCGAGAAGAAGACGCAGAAAAAACGAATCCACTTGATAACAGGCACTACTAACAAATGATGAATAAAAGAACAGGCCAACGTCCGTTGTTATTGCTTTAATAATATATAGCAAACTTTATTGTCTAATAAAGAAAAGAATGATGTTCATGATGCAAGACAGATCATATTTGGCATTATTATCCCAAAGGACAAAAGAGCATCAAAGACAAATACCGCAAAACTAATTTTTTTTCATTTCGCTTGAAAACAAAGAGAACTCGAGAAAGAAAAACCTTTTCAATAGAAATAAAGGTGATGAAAGTAATCTTCTTGCATTTGTATCTCTTTTTCTTCCATCCGACACTATATGCTTTCAGTCATCTTTTCTCCTGTTACTTAGGCGTTTTCTTCTTTTTTTCTTCTTACTAAAGAACGATCTATACTCGAGAATGCTGCTGCGAGTGACGCGTTTGCTACACAGCCTTTTCTTGTCATTTCGAAGATGAATTAACGAGTGAACAAGAAAAAAAAAAGAAGAAAGTTGAGAATCAATGTCGCTTAGTGATAAGAAACAAGCAGAGATTTGTGTGGGATAATGACAGATGTGATGTGGTTCAAAGATCAGTTTTTACAAATTCCAAAAAGGAAAAAGAAAAGAAAAGTATCATTGGTAAAATTGACACAAATACGATCGGTGAACGCATGTCAAGCGGAAAGGAAAACATGTTTCTCAAATTTCAATCGATTTCGATTTTTCATCTCATTGTTTTCCATAGGATTAAAGATTAAACACAGAAATTTCTGTGTTAACGTTGATAATCTCGCAATGATCAATCTGTGCGAGATTTCTCTGCGGATGACAAATTTCAAAGTGATTGATGATGATGTTTCTCATGCATAATCAAACGTCCGAGATGAATATGAAGTTGTTCATTTGATATTAGAGATGATTTTCGTGGAAGAAACGTCAAAAACTGAAGAAAGCGTCACTTACCTAAACTAAGACCGATCGAGCTTCGTTAATCACTGAAGCTCGTCTTTCCAAGTTGAATTCTCGTCTTCAAGCGATAATTGCCAGTTGAAATATTGAAAATTTCTTTCGAGATTCGTTTTTCTTGAGAATAATATTCAGATAAATCAAATTGAATAATCAAAAGACTACTTATGTGTCTGAAAGAAACATCAATAACACAATAAATCCTACCATTATCAATGTCTTCTAGACAATACTTAGACTCTAAAATGATGTACTAATCAAATGTAAATAAATTACTTTTCCCTGTTCGGATATCTTTCGGAGCTAATCTTCGAGTCGTAATTGATTATTTCGACGTATTTGACTTTGTCGAACGTTTTTTCAAAGAAATTATTTTCATTTACAATGCATAGATGATCTTCCAGAGGTCACTAGTAAACATTTATCTTCAACATATGGATTTCTTTTACGCGTCGACGAAATGGTTTTAATCAAATTCAAATTTGAGATAAGAATTTTCGCGAATAGCATCACCTTTATGATTGGTAACTCGAATTCGTCTATCCCGAACGGATAGATGTCATTTCGCAATCACAAAACCATGTAATTATGCAATTTATTTCATCGCGTATTTTCACTTCTAGAAATGTCCGCATCGTCTCCGTATACGTGTATTACATGTCATGTTGCTTTTACTAATGGTGAATTGCAACGTGCTCATTATAAAGCCGATTGGCATCGGTATAATTTGAAACGTAAAGTTGCAGATCTTGGTCCGATATCTGCGATTGAGTTCACTGAAAAAGTCGAAGCTATCCAACAACAGAATTCAGCGAAAACGATCGAAAGTAATGACCGATCAACATTTTCGTGTAAAGAGTGTGGAAAAGGATTCACATCGGAAAATGGTATGCTGAATCACACGAAATCGAAGAAACACATCGAAACGGTTGCGAGAAATGCCAATCTTCCGGTAAGTAAAGCATACAGTTTTGATTTCATCGATGCGATTGTGCTGCTATGCATTGTAGAAGGTAGATCCTAGTCAATATACAAAATCTTCCCAAGAATCACCGAATGTGGAAGTTATGGAAGAAGATGACGTCGAAGATGACGGTGGTTGGAGCGATGTGGATGATGGTGACACAGTTACACGTAAGAATTTGTCTTAATTTTCGTATCTGTCGTGAAACAGGGATCATTAGAACGAAAATTAATGATTATTTAGATGCGTCCATGGTCGAAGGTGAAGCTGAAGTTCTTGGCACCCCGTTACGTCTAGAAGAATGTCTGTTTTGTTCATTAAAATCATCTAATCTTGAAGAGAATCTTAGTCATATGGCACATGCACATAGTTTCTTTCTACCAGACTTCGAATACATCACAGATCTGCCAGGTTTAGTGGAATATCTCGGTACGTGTATCTTCTTAAATAAAACAAAATCGATTGATGATTGAAATCGCTGTAGATGAAAAAGTCGGCATATATCACGTGTGTCTTTGGTGTAACAAGAGATCTTTCCATGATGTTCTTTCTGTTCAACGACATATGACAGCCAAGGGACATTGTAAGATGCTCTTCGATGACAATCCCAACGCTGCTTGGGAATACGTGGATTTCTACGATTATTCGTAAGTAATCTGTACTTTATTTAAATAGCCAAACGAGATCTGTTTTAGAGCAAGTCATCCCGATTCAAATGATAAAAATGTCGACGAAGATATCGATAGTAACCTGCTCGAGACCAATGGTTTTGAACTCGTATTACCATCTGGAAAAACAGTTGGACATCGAACACTTCTTCGATACTACCAACAGAGCTTATCCAATCGAAACAATGTACGATCACTTGAATTGGTGAACCGAATCAAAGATAAATATCGAGCACTCGGTTGGTCTGGACCGGGAACAACAGGTTTGTTTTGAGTAATGCGAAGAATTCTGAAATTTCCTATCCGAACGTCTTCTAGGTGAAGTCTTCCAACGCAAAGTTCGTGATTTGAAATATATGCAGCAATGGAAAGCCAAACAACACATGAGACTCGGTGTCAGAAACAACATGCATCAACATCACTTCCGTGTACAAGTGAACTTTTAGATTTCGTGTTTTTCTTTTGTTACGGAATAAAGAAAATTCAGCAAATAATCGTGTTTTCTAATGTAGAAAGCAAAAAAGTAGAAAGATTGATCACAATAATTAACAATTGCTAAATGCGTTTGTTATCAATAGCCGTGAATGGCAAATGATTAACGTAGTAGGAAGATTTTGTTTTGCGTACGATAGTAAATGTTTGTTTTCGCTCGTTCTTTGATTTAATTATATGAAAATGATGTCATAGATGAAAAACATGTTGACTAACTTTCAGCCTTGACTTTATGCATATGCGTCGAGAAAAATATCGAACTTTCGTTCTTTCTCGCTCGGACGATAAATTCGAAAAAGAGGTGTGGCGTTCGATTTATTTCAGTTTATTTACGCAATCGAGTCAATCACGTTTCGATGGCATATGTAAGTTATCGGACGATTTCTTCCAGATAGATCTCGAATTTACATATCTAGATCAAACATTTCTATCCTTCCTCATCGATCATTTGCTCATGCAGAACAGTGCGATTGTTTTCAAAACAAATCTGTCATCAATCGACTAGTGTAGCAAGCGCGCATACAAATGAAAAGAAAGATCTGAAGGGCGAATATCCATTGCTCGATACGAAATTTAATCAATATCGCATCGCTTATCGGTATCGACGAAGTCTTGAATTATTGCGTGGCTATTTTGTCTATCGAATATTCTCGATCAATTTGCTTGTGAATAATCAAACTAAGGTACAGTGAACATTTTCATTTATTATCAAATATGCACTTAATGATGAAAATAGATTGCCCAATGGGGTCAACGCATTCTCGGCACGCATTTGTTCAATGCAATTTTGAAGTTAACCGCCTTCGGACATTTTGTTGGAGGTGAAACACCTCGAGAAATCACACCGGTAATCAAACGCTTGCAAAAGTATGGTGTCAGACCTATCCTCGACTACAGCGTCGAAAGTGATGATGGTGGCGCCTCGTCAACATCGTAAGTTTTGTAAAGAAACGTAGACATTTTGAAGTTAACCGAGATTCGTTTATAGAGCTGAAGATGTTGAGCGTATGCATGATCTCAATACAGATAAATTTATTGAATGTATCAAAACATCACATAGTGTCTGTGGACCGAATAATTTAGTCGCAATCAAAGTGACAGCGCTGATCAAGCCGAGCTTATTGAAGAAATTTAATGGATTTCTCAAAGCAATACCAAATCGCTCGGCATTGCCATCTCTATTCGAACTGATCAATGATAAATATAATCAAGGAAATCTAATTGAATCATTCGAAAAATCGATGAAAGCATATCTTGCCGAAACTCAGGTAAAATAATTTCACTAAAATATACGAGAAATCGTAACTCCATCGGAGATTTTAGAACAACACTTCCACTAACATAACCTTCACTCATAATGAATTATCAGACATTCTCAATCTCATCACACGTTTGAATCGAATCGCGCAAGTAAGAACTCAACTTTCTCTTTTGAAAACACATCTTGTTTGTTAGGCATCTGTCGAAGAGAATATCTCAATTATGGTCGATGCCGAACAAACATATTTTCAAGCAGCGATCAATTATCTTGCCAATGAATTACAGCGATACTATAACAAAAACGATTCTGCATTTATTTATGGAACATATCAATGTTATTTGAAAGTAATTGACTTTTTTTCGGACTCGTTTTTTGCTTCGATGGGGAAGTCTTTTTAGGAAACATTGTCATCGTTAAAAGATGATCTTGCTCAAGCTGAAAAGTATGGATATATCTTCGCTGCGAAACTCGTCCGTGGCGCTTATATGGAACAAGAACGCCGATTAGCGCGAGAACAGGGTTATGAAGATCCGATCAATCCAAATTTCGAAGCAACATCAAGGATGTATCATGCATGTCTCGATGAAGTGTTGAAAAGTATTCAAAAACGTCATCCGAATCAAGTACGAATTGTCATTGCTTCGCATAATGAAGACACTATTCGATATGCCATTCAACAGTAAAGAAATCATTTCGCCTATTTTCGTATTCCAAGAAAAACTTCGATTTAGAATGAAAGATCTGAATATACGTCGTGGCTCGTCATTGGTGTCATTCGCATCGCTGTACGGAATGAGTGATTATGTAGCTTTTGCTTTGGGTGAGTATATTTGAAAACTTTGAAGAATATCGAAATGATTTTGCTTATTTGTAGCCAATTCTGGTTATAAAACTTATAAATATCTGCCATATGGACCGATTGAATCACTACAACCATACTTATTTCGGCGCGCACAAGAAAATCGTGCAGTGTTTGAGAAAGCGGATAAAGACCGACGTTTGCACTTGAAAGCCTTAAAAGATCGAGTTTTACCCTTAAAAATTTAACAGATTATGTATCTTCTTCCGTATCTTTTTCTTTCTAACTTTTCATTCAAATCAATAAATCGAACCATCTGAATTCTTGCTGTTCGCGATTGTGAATGAGAATCTTCGCTTAATAATTGAAGAAAGAACAACTTTTTGACGTCTGTCTATACGTGCGCAAATAAAGTTTAAGCTCGATGACAAAGGCGTCACAGGAGAAAGTTTGCATTAATAAAATCGAACTGTGATATTCGCCTGTAAAGAGCAATAGAAAGCGATTACAGAAAATAAACCCACCAAGTAGAACATATGCGTGACAAATCTCGCTTTCGTCATTTCAGATCTTTTAGGAGAACAAAGGTGACCAAGACGTCATACGAACTGTTCAAAATCATAATTATTTCGATCGGCCCGGTTAAAAAATTACAAATAGTTTTCTACTTTTATATTCACTTATGATCCATTATCAAGAGATAATTCCTCCGTTCTAGGCTCTTCTACGGCACAACTACAAAGTAAGTTTGTCAAATCACAGAAGGTTTAACCTTGGGATATTTGTATTGATTTTTAATAAAAGTACATTGTCTCATTTTAAAACGACGTCTGTCAAATTACACAAATAATAAAAGTTTATTGTCATTACGCTTAATCCAAATCGTTCGAAACATACACGGTTTTGTTTTATTATACTCGGACAACATACAAGGCTATCGATAAATGTGCCTCATTTTCTGTAATCTCTCGATATAAATGTTTGTCAAGGAATGAGAAAGCATTGTACCTGTTGTGAGTTTTATTGGAAATAATGACGGATTAGATGATAGTGTTAGAAGATGTGCTTATGATCCATTGAAGTTATCGAATTGAAGTATATGATTAGTTTATTATTAAAATAAGAATTGAAAAAAGAAACAGAGATTCTTTGTTTTCAAACGAAAGTCCAAGTGAAAATCAAACCGAAATGAACAGAAAAAAAACAGACACATTCGATATCAAACTATTCCAAGGTAAATAAATGTCATAGACTAGCTACGAAAAAACGGTAGATGAAATGTACATTTTGGATAGCTAATGTTAAGTCTGAACAGTTGTTCTTTGTTCTTCACGTGGTGGAGGAATAGGTCGCTCGACCGGTGCATCTAGCGGAACAGCTAAACATACCAAATTTCCTGTAAATCATTCATTATTCAATTAAATAACTCACCGGAATAATTTTCAAGTGCTTTCTTATCATTAGTTTGCTCATTTCGAAGTTTTTTATAGTACAAAAAGACGAGAATCACTGCTCCTGCAACAGCAAGTATAGAAGCAATAGGCACTAAGATAGACACATTCCGTCTAGTTGCCGGCGAATAATGTAACGTTTTCGCATGACGTTGTCTGTCATTGTACACATTATTCCCGTATCCACCAGATCGTTCTTGGTTAAATTCTCTACGAAAAAAGGCGAGAGACTAGCAATTGTTTTAGATATCGATTTGTTTTTCAACGAACTGTGCATTGCAACAATATTGGAAATTCGGCTGTCCACAACAATATTGATCGAGTTGATTCATACCTGAACCAGGCGGTAATGGACACGGAAATTTTCCAAAAGTATATCCATTAAAATTCTGGAAATTAGTACACACAGATCCACGTCTTTGTTGAGCTGAAAACAATGACGTAGGATGATGATATGTTGTTTTTCTTTCAAGGCAAATATTTACCATTCAATTGGCCAATGTTAAATGCTTTTTCACCTCTGCTGGCATATTGCTTCGCTAACTTCTGAAGAAAAAAGGCACCGCCATCTTCTCGACGAGGTAAACCACCTATACCTTGCAGACTGATTAACAGTCAAATACAAAATGTGACATGGAGAGAAGATTTCGACTTTACCTGCTTGGCGGTGCATTTTTTCCATCGATCACATTGCTTTTATCTGATTGGCCATCTTGATTGGAAACCCAATATTGATATTTCGTGTCAAACCATCCGAGCGGTTTATCACCAGAAAATGCCGGTGGTTTAAAATTCGGACTACTGTAAAATCCTCGACCACGAATGAGTTGCTGTTGTTGTCCTTGAGATGCTGCTTGCAAATTATTATTCACTTGTTGTTGATTATTCAAATTATTTGCCGGATTAAATTGCATGTTCTTCGGTGACATTACTCCATCCGGATTTCTCGCTAGATTTCGATCATTATCACCTGCGGCTTGTCGTCGTCGACGATCAGCACTGGCTTGTCCAAAATCTGATAAACAGACAGAACAGTGTTTGAAAGGAAAAATACACTAGTGATCTTTACCATCGATGGAACAAATCAGGAGTATTAATATTAATATCAGCTGTCGATTTGATGCAACGTACATGATAGATGAAGTTTGTAATCAATTTTCTTTTTCTCTACTGTCGTTTTGTATGTCAAAAGAAATATACTTTAGTTCTTTTTCTCTTCTGTGTTTTTTTTTTCTTTCTCGTCTCCTACTTACTCACCATCAGTGTTCTCTGCGTCTTTTTTTTCTCTCTTTCGAAAACCATGACCTTTCTTTTTGTGTAACGTACAACGTATGTTTTCATATTTCTCCGTTCAGTTTCTCCTCTGTTCGATTTTCAATAGATTTTTTCCTCCTTTCAGTCTTTCGTTTGTCACCATTTCTGTCCTTTCCTTTTTTTTACGATGCTGCCAATTTTTATTTTCATAATATGACGCATATTTTTACTCGCTATCGCCGATTCGTCATTATTACTTTAACCGTTCTTTTTTGCATCTCATTCGTTCCAATGTTAGTCGTTTGTCGTAGGTAAAATGAGTAATTCAACTTTATTCATTCGACAAGGAAACAACAGTATGAATAATTAAAAAGAATTACTTCAAAGTAGGAAATTCATCACTAAAAAGTAACAGTTTTCGACATAGAGGACATGTCCGTTCAATCTTAAACCATTCCTCCAAGCATTCACGATGAAACGTGTGATTGCAAGGAAATGTTTCCGTGTTTTTCAAACTTAAATTCTCCAAACAAATCAAACATTGATCTTCGGTCTTTGATGACTCATCTTTTCGCAAGGATTTCTTCGCTGTTTGTTCTCGATACCGTTTAAATGTACTCCAAAGTGTGGCCGCCACTGACTGTTCGGTGTTATCTTCGAACGAATGCTGAAGCAGCAAAAAATATTGAAAGATTTATGAGATGAAAAGCACTCACTTGATTTAGAGTGGTGTCAACATCGTTCTAAGTAATATAATAAAGTACGAAGGTTAAAAACAGAAAAGTAAGAACTTTTTATTGACCTGCTCGGACGGATATTTGCTTCGAACAATATTTAGTACACCGTCTTCGATTTGTGATAAACTTAATCCGGCCAATGTTTGCTGTTCTTGACGATAGGCGTATAAAGCTTCAGTAAAATTCGATCTATCGTCAACGACAAGTTCAGTGAAGATATGTTCGATTTCACTTACCTACTTTGTATATTCAGGATGTGATTTCGTTAAATATAACATCAGTTTTTCGAATGTCGACAATTCAAATGTTTCTTTCGAAAGGCCAGGAGGAATGGATCTTTTTGTATTCTAGAATGAAACAAATTATTTCGATGCCGTATGATTTAATGTACATATCTTCATGTGCAATTGCGAGCACACGTACAAATTAAGGGCGTCGATTTCAAACTGAAAGTTTTATGTTTTACCTGCTTACGAGTGTCACTTGCATAGCGCTTTTGTTCCGTAGCCATTAGTAGAAATGAAAATCTAGAGAATATGAAATATCAACACATGGATTTCTGAGCGTTCTTCAGAATTTGCTTTGTATTATCTGTCTGATTTCGTCTCCCCTATGACTGAATAGGCAACAAGAAAGAAAATAAATTTCTACATAGCAACATAAAGTGAAGAAATGTGACACGGACAACTAGAATATGCAAAGAAATCGTAGTCAGTCTCCTTTAGGTACGACGTGTTGATTGATAACATCGAAGATTTGCTTTCGTTTGGATGTGCCCATGGAGTTCTGTTCGCACCAGTTGGCAAATGTGGACGATGATTGGAAATTGATCGTTGGCGAACGATGCGCAAAAAAACTTTCGATATATTGAAGAATAAACAAACCACAATCGAAATAATTTGGTTGTTGGGGTACCGCAGCTTCGATAGTTGGAATTGTATCTAAATTAAAGATTTTGCGTCCTGACGAACCCATTGGTAAAGGTTTCTTATGATCATATTCAAGTTGAAGAAATTCTCGTAGTGTAGCAGCTACACGATTCTTCGGACCAGCATGTAACGAATCGAAAAGAATTATTGCTGGTGTTTGAGACCGATCTTTGCGATTTTGATCAGTTTTCGTCAGATTTTCGTTACCGGTGCTGACTTCATCGGCTTCATCAACAATTTCGATGCTTTGCGCATTTGATTTCGATCTTGTTTTGTCACCAGTACCGTTGGTCACATCACCGATTTTAGCTTTTTTCGAATTCGATCGTTTGTCAACCATCTCCTCATCATCGTCGCTAATTAAGTCGCCTTCCGTAGGAACATAATTAGGAAATTTAATAAGTACAATATACCAATGAGCCGTTTGATTTATTGGTACGATAAGATAATCCTTCGAAAAGATATCCACGTCACGGAGCCATCGTTTCACTCGGCTGTATCGCCGTTCGGCTGGTCTTTTCAAACGTACGAGAAAGATAGAAAAGGTAGGTGAAATTTAACTTTACTTACGATATATTTAGAATATCATCATTACTTTTCCGTGTCAATCGCGTGTAGAAAAATGAATTGAATAAATATGTCCGTTGTCGATCTTCCTCCGAAAGTTTCTCGTAAAATACGTATCTATTCAAGAAAAAAAGACGAATGTGAAGTTGAAACTGTGAAATGAACTATTACTGCAGATAAAAATCGATAATATTATCATTGAGAAATTCACCCTCGTTTAAACACATCAAGTCATCACGAGATAAATCAAATCGAATTGTATTGTTATTCAAACCAACTGTCTTGGAAGTTCTAAATAAGGAAAAACTTCAAGATTATCAGTGTTTTCATCTGCGTAAACCTATTTTCACGCTCGACTTCACTCATGTGTCCAGGCACACCTAGAAGGCGTCCTTCAGTACGAATATCTTACAAATCATTGTCGTTGAGCACGAATGGTGTTGTTATGGAGCCTAGTGCTGATAGTTTAGCAAACCGAGATAGATTGTAGAGTTCTTGAGCTTTTGATGCACTGATACAACAAATATTCTATGAAAACAACGTGATAATAACACGATGAACTTAGACAGAAAAGGTCTCTCACTGTTGTAGGAGATTTTGCTTTTAAATATTGATAGATTGATGCAATAGTCACGTTTTCCACACTTGAGTCGACATGTTTCAAACAGAAAACAATTCGGCGTCGTTTTTCATCTAAAAAGTTCGCAAAAACAAACATGGCTTTTCATCGAATGACGCACCAACCTTTCGAAGTCGGATCGAATTGTTTGCCATGTTCATCTGATGATGGAATAAACTTTGCAAAAAGTTCAGCAAAGTCGGGCTTTGCTTGAATAAATGCCGCTGGTGGTTGAGATTGAAACGAGAAATAGAACGATTGAATGTCTGAATACGCTAATTTGATATTCAAATTTTCCATGAAACTACCTGAAAAATGTTTGATAAAGATCGAGATTTTCCATGAGAGCACACGCGTTACTTTTTAATTTCAATTCGAATTCGATATCTTTCATGAGAATCACCTCTGATTCAACATTAAATTCCACCATACCAAAACGAACGGCTGAACAGGAGAGTTCGTACGGTTTCTTAATCAAATCCGTCGTTTTTATAGACAATTCAGGAATACGAATGATATCTTTTCGATGAATGATCCAATCGGATGTTTGACTCTTAGGATCTCCATTAACTATTGCAGGTGTTGCTTGTTTCACAGAAGTTATCACCGGCACCACGCTCGTTTGATTTGAGTTACTATCATTATTATCATCATCGTCGTCACTCAAACAAATGACTGTCGGAGAGGAAATGAGTGGATGATGCAATTAAAGAAAGTCTTACCTTCTGGTTGAGGTTTGCATTTTTTCGCCATTTGACCATTGGTTATGATTAACTCATGACTAATTCGCTAGAGAAAACGATCGGATAGAGAAAAAAAAATGAAAGAAATTGATTTTATGTTTACCTTTCGACTGTTATAAAAAGATACTGTGGGGATATTACTTGTGGACGACAGATTGATAGTGTGAAGTTCTGAAATGAAAGATATTCGCTTTTCGACTGTGAATCAACGGTTTTCTTACGCAAAGGAGAAGACTGATGAATGGAATTGAGCGACAGTTTGTAAAATTTTGTAGATCAAATTTAAGATAACTTGCATTCGACGTTAAAAATATACGAAAATTTTTCCTTCGTTCAGTTAGTTATGAAGGAAGACGTATTACAAGGAATCGATTGGATCACCAGGATTTATCCAATACATTTTCCGTGTAAATGAAACTCAACAGATGGCGTACAGTTTTTGAGGAAAAGCGAATTTCTGTCGGATAACATTGTGCATCGAATCAATCGTCATAGTAAATATCAAATGTTCTTGTATCACGACCATCACTAACTCAGATGACCTCTGATCAATTTAACATACTGCAGATTCCTGTTGAAAAATACGACATTTTACACAACACGATTCGTTCAAATCATATATCTTCGAAACTTCATAATGGTTTGCTGTATCTTCTTCGTTCTACTCGAATTCAATCGCTTCTCCGTGCGATAGACCAGGTTGAGAACTGAATATTTTGCGATAATTCTTCATCTGGTTTACTAGTGACATCTAATATCGCACTTCTATGTCTTGGCTCGTCTCGTAGTAACGAAATGAGATATTTGATGACTGCTAAAAGAATAGAAAGAAATAACTGACTTATTTTAATTCAGAAGAATGAGCGATATTGTCGGAACTTGGCAAGTGGCGCTTTCAGATGGTGTTCACAAAGTCGAATTTGAACAGTAAATCACTTTTTCTCCATCTATTTCTACTTGGATTTCTTTTTTTTTTCCCAGTGGTACAACCTCGGGCAAACGTATAATCCGTGTAGATGGAAAGGAAATTCTTCGTCGAGATTGGCTTTTCAAATTAGTAGGAAGAGAATCGTTCAAAATCGGTAAACATCAATGTACGATAAATATCGATGCAATCAGTGGCTTCGCTTATGAATATACTCTTGACGTGGATGGCAAACCTCTGGAAAAATTCAGTGAAAACCGTTCGAAAATCAGTCGAACATGGACATTAGCACTCGATGGAGTTGATTACCGTATTGTCTTAGAAAAAGATACATTAGATGTTTGGGTCAACGGTCAACGTATTGACGCCGAAGCGGATTTTCTTGACGATGGAGGAACACAAACAGCTTTTGATATAGCAGGTCATCCAGCCGTTTTAAAAGCTGTTTCAACCGGTTATCGTCGTTCAGGCATCAATCATGCGTTATTTGTTGATGACAATGAAATTCCTGTCGCAAAAGAATAAAAATACTCGTTTTAAGCTTATGTACATGAATGTTTTCATTTCGTGATTTATATATACATAAATGTCGCCATTAAATCTATTTTTTTAGACTAAAAAAATACAGATACTTCTTCTTATACATGGTACATTAGTTTGAATAATTTCTGTCGTAATGATTCATTCGAGAGAATAACGCATTTATAGTTTTGGGCGTATAGAGTAGGACGTCTATCAGAATATTTGCTACAACCAATCATATGACAACAGGTTTTTCGTTTCTTTGTATAAATAAAAACAGAATCTGTCAAACTGAGAGTACAAGCAATAAACGACGTAAAACGCTGATCGAAAGGTTGTTTTTGTTTTAGAATAAATTGATCATGGCTGAAAAGAATCATCTTGTTCCTTATGTAAAAGAGCAATTAACTGGTCTGTTTTAAAATACGTTGTTTTAATCGTATTCTTAAATAATTGATTATTGTAGAAGCTGTAAAAATGTTTACTCATCACGAACGACCCTTTCAAAAAACTCGACAAGAAAAAGTGACGGATTTAACTAAACTCCGGCCAGGTGATCACGTCAGTTTTTACAAAACAGACTTATATTATTCGCATCATGGCATTGTTTGTGAAGCGCGTGAAAACTACCTTCGTGTTATACATTACTTTAACACCTTAGCGCATGCGCGTAGTGCATTGATGAAGGGTTCGGTTTACATAGCCGCGATTATCGAAAGTGAATGGTCGGTGAATCTGAAAAGCAAAAGTGAAGATGTATTTCTTCATCATTATGATGGTATCAAGTGTTTCACAAATGAAGAAACATTACAACGAGCTTTTTCACAGTTAGGTCGACGTGGATATTCGTTGATCAGTAATAATTGTGAACATTGGTCTCGATGGTGTCGAACAGGTGAACATTTTTCCGAGCAAATTTATAAATTTCGCCGACTGGTTAAGGAGAAAACCGCAACGTTATTAATTATGGATCCAACTGCGTTGTTAGTTAAGGATGTGGCATTGGTTGGTGTGCAAACATTCGGACAATTCTTAAGCGCTGTTGGATCAGGCGTGGTGCTCACAGCTGTGGAAAGTATTTCAGCGTATATTGACATACGAAAGAAAAAGAATGAACGAAAAAAAGGAAGTTTAAGTGATGTTGCTTTTAAAAAATATGTCATTCGACGAATAACCTCCGCATCGACAACCGTATGTTTCAAAATTCGTTTGAACAAGTCGAATTCATCAGTTGATTTAGGTCGTTGGTGGAACAGCAGGAACTGTTGTTGGAACAATTCTAATTCCTGTACCTATTCTCGGTTCGACTGTGGGAGGTGTCATCGGTAGTGTTGGGGGCAAACTAGTTGGAGACATATCGGGTATTGCTCTGTCGAAAATAGTCGAAGTCTATGACAGAATCAAAGAAGCTAAAGTGAAAAAGATGGTAGCGATTCCACAATTGATGAATCATCTTTCACCGCAAAGCGAACTTCTTCGAGGTTTGATAAATATCTCGGTGAATCGAGAAGAAGAAGTGAAAATAACGAGTGGTATCCAAGAAGCAATGAATAGTGAACCCTCTCGACTCTATCCATCTCTAGAAGAATTCATTCGTATTAGTCCAACTGTTACACCGGAAAAATGCCGAGCGGCATCACAATTGACAACTGAACTGTTTCCTGAATCGAGTTCTTATGATTATTTCGTACTAACACCTGTTCCGGATGAGAATGCTGCCGAAGAATTCGCATCATCGACCGATTTGCTCGTCCTTCGATGGCCGATTGATTCGATAAAACCATGGGAAAGTGGTGAAGCACAAGTGTTAGACATTAATGATTTAGATTCCAATAAACAGTGACTTCGAATGTTTTGAGCGCTCAAATCAATGTCAGATTTTGCCCTCTCGATAAGTTCAATTCACTTTGAATTCCTTTTAATCTCATATACAAAAAAGTCGAACACGATTTCATGACAATTATAGATGAAATATGACTTCTCTCGATGTAGAGTAATGAGGTGGAAGAGTTTTATTCTACTGAAAGGCGAAGCAAATTGATTCGAAGTGATCATATGAGCATTTGCTCATCTAGTGTGTGTTTTCTGTACTGGTAAACAATTAAATTCTCACTCCTGATAAATAAAAAAAAAACAATTTTTCTCTATGTCATTTGCGATTATACATGTCATCTTTTTTATTTAATAAAATTCTACAAAAAAAATAAGGCGAAATTTCCGGTCATACTTTAAACAATCTCGTCGAACTGCTAATCAATTATGTACACCACTTACATATTCTGACCTTTCGCTTCATAATTGTTTGTCTAGTAATATTTAATCATCGTAGAATACAGTCCAGTAAATCTAAAGTTCATCATTTGGTGAATGTTTAGCTATGCAGATCAACGAAGTGTCTTCAGATTTCGAAGTGAAGAAGCGATGTACTTTGTAAAAGTCATCGAATGCATATTTGAACTCACCAAAATTTTTGTAAATGTTTAATTTCCTAAATGATTCTTGCACTCTTGCTTCCGTTTTATTTACAAGACAATATATTTAATGAGACGCAATGAAATTTCTCGGAAATGAATTCTCAGCCGACAATCATATAAATCAAGCGCTTCTACAAAGTATTTTTGTTATTCTCTACTTTTCACATACTCAATCATATCGTGAACGGTCAGACGATGTTTCCAAGATCAATTATAACGCTGTTATGCTTCGTTTTACTTTCAATGATCATCCAAGATACAACTGCTTATCGCTTGGATCAACGAGAAGTACATTCGGATAAGGAAAATGACAATTCTCATCTTTTCGAAGCCGACTTTCTCGACAAGCTTCAAAACCTACTCTCGGCGGCTGACAGTCTCATTGCAAAAAACAAACAATCAGCATTAAACGAACATGAACTTCAAACACGGTTAGCAATCAATCGCCGTCCTGGACTTATTCGTTTGAAAAAAGCGAGTGATAACTGAAAGAAAGACATTTTCTATTGTTTGATCGTCTCTATCTTATCCTAAAGTAAATTGTTCATTTATTTATTCGAAAACAAAATATACACATAAAGAAAATAGAACAATGAACGAAGCAGAAAAATCAAAATAAGACGAAGATTGATTCTCCTTTTTTCTCTGATAAGAACAAAAAAAATACGTCTATCTATGATAGAAAAATACACTTTTCTAAGTTTTGTGAGAAGATGAACGCGGCTTTTCGCCAAAAATCGCTGGAAAGGTCTTTCCGTCGGGGAATTGAGCTTGATGCTCTTCGAGAAGTTGATTCTTCATCAAACAGCATTCACGATACTAAACAAAATACATGAATCACTCTCGAGAAGAATAGATCATATACTTTAATAGCTTTTTGCAACATTTGTTTTGTATCCAATGGTACATTGAGCTGTTCGATACAATCATCGTAATTAAATATCGATGTCATTCGGCCTGATGAATCAACCAGTTTCATTTCTAATGGTGAATCAAAATGCTCTAAATTCTTTCGATAAATCGAAAGTTTCGAGCCATTGACATGCGTAAACTAAACAAAATCCGTTGAAAATCTTGCATAAAAATCATCTCCTCTCAACCTACATCGAATTCAACTGATGTTTCCATCAAACGACATTTTCCATCATTTGTATACATGATGATTTTGCATCGAAGTGAACGAATGATATTCACAAATCTAAATTCAGACAAGAAAATCTTCTCCTGCTATCTCATTCTTATCTTCATTTACTTCCATGCACGACGATATTTACTATGGTATTGTTCGGGCAATGTATCGAACGTATATTGCTCGTAGTTGACAGGTAATGGAAGGGGACCTTCACTCTCAATGTAAGAGTTGTACTGTTTCCGATCCGGTCGATAGTAGATGATCTGAAATGATGAATGAGCGAAGATGTAGAGAAAGTGATCGATTTACTTTCTGTCCGTCGGATGACACTCGAAATACATCGACAATTCGTTTGGAGCCTGTTTTAGCCTCGACTAGATGTTGAATTACTACTTCTCCATCATCTAATACGTCCATCTAAATCTTTGGTTTTGTGGCATAAAACGATTTCGAGTTTGTCAACTTACGATATCACTTTTCGTTATCACATGTCGACGATCGAGACGTTGGGTGTTTAATGGGATTAACTTTTCAGTGATTAGTTTACGGTGACTGATACTATTTGTGTTACTTAGATTATTACAACTTAACACCGATGCCGACGAAGCATTTCTGAAAAACGAAACAGATTCTAATGCTTGAAAATCGAGATCAACGCGCTGGATAATTTACACTTTTTGACTTCTGTTAATCATTAACGGTGGAAGTGAATTCAGTATTGTTGCTCCTCGTGAATCGTTAATTGGTTGTCGACTTGACAGTGATGTATCAAAGTATCCACTATCACTTCTTAATGACTAAGAAAAAGCGAACAGTTTTCAATTGAAAATCAGTTCTACAACATACTGTTGAACTCGTGCGTGATGAATTCATTCGATCATTCAATTGACGTTTTAACAAAAATGGATGATTACGAATTTGAATCAAAGTCAAACGCTTTTTCACGTCTTTTTGTAAGATTCGATTAATCAAATCTTTTGCTTCGTGACTTAACCCTTCCGGTAAAATATATCGAACATTCGCAACTCGTTTTAACGTAGAAAGAACATCTAAAACGAATGAAGATCTTTTACAAACTTTCGTTAAACAATGCGTTCAACTCGCCTTGATCATCAAACGGTGGTTTGCCTACTAAACATTGATAGATAAGTGCGCCGAGAGACCAGATATCCGCTTCGAAACTATGCGCTTTCCGTGTCGCGATTTCTGGTGCGAGAAAGTTCGGCGTACCGACCATGGTGAAATTTGTCTGTTCATGACTAACCATTTGCTTCGCTAAACCAAAATCGGCGATTTTCTGAATGAGAAAAGGAAATTTTGAACAGTTGCTTTTGATTCAACTTACAACGTTGTTTTCTTTTGTTAAGAGAAGATTATGCAATTTGAGATCACGGTGAAGAATTTGATGAGAATGTAAATATTCAATACCCGTCACAATTTGTTTGATATAATGTCGTGCTGTGAGAGCAAAGAAGCGGGAAGAATTCGATCGAAGCAGTTTCCAATTCGGTCTTACTTTCATCTTCAGTAAATTGTTGACGAATATTCAGATATTTCTGCATATCTGTAGCGCACAATTCGAGAATTAAGTAAATGTTTGCATCGTCCTCGAAGACTTCGAGCAACTATAAAGAAAAATTTGAAGAAAAATATATATGATCGATCGAGAAGTTCACCAACTTGGACAATCGCGGGATTACGCAATCGATAATGTATTTGAACCTCTTCATTCACTCGTGATTGAGCATTTTTCAGTTTCAGCTGTTGTTTATCCATCTGAAATCGAATTTTAGTCATAGAGATAAGAAAATTGAGAGGAAATACATACGATCTTAATCGCAACATCGGATCTATCACATAATCGAACTCCTCGATAGACTTTGGCAAAGCCACCGGTACCAATCAATTCAAATTTGTCATAATTCTATGAATTACAATGAAATTTAACAAAATAATCCAGTAAAGATTTACCTTAATTGAATCAAGATTAATACATCCATCACATGAATGTGGAGTCCATTCAGCTGCACTAACAGCCATGATATCTGTTCTAAAATATGAAAGGAACGGTTAGCACTTGCTGTCATCAATATTCGTACAATGACGCAACTCATTGTTTCCCACAATTTTTCAAAAATGGAATCATTCCCAAAAATCGTACAAAAACCGGCGAAAAAAAGGAATTTTATTCGAGAATATTATCGTATTCTTCGAAGAAATGTTCGTTTTTCCGAGTCAAATTGATGAGGAAAGTAGAGCGCCCTCTATTTTTCTTCTTTTTCTTTAGTTCGTCATTTTCTACGAACGAGCAAGTATTGTTTCCATTTGCTGACTTGTTTATTGTTTGTTTCAATCGTTGATCAGCTGGATAGAAAACGAAAATTCGTCTCTTTCGATTGTGGCTCGAAGAAAAACTCCAGAATGAATTTAAATAATGACAAAGAACTTGGTGATTTACTCGATCTCAATGCTGTAAGTGAACAAAACCATACTAGACACGCAAAATTTGCTTCAAAACACATCTTTTTCAGGTGAAAAGTCGAACTCGTTTTCCGAATAGTACAATCGAAACATCCGGACATCAAGCAGTACCTGTAGGTCCTTGTATTTTCTTCGTTATCATGCAATTCTTCGTCGTTTTATTCAGACTTTACCGGCAACAATCCCTTATTCAACTGCTGCACCGATTCCATCTTCTGAAACAATTTATAGTAGCACAAATAAAGGTTGGACTCGAAAACTTACCTTCTACCAACTGACATATCCCCATTTTAGATTATTGGACTGATCATACGTCATCTACAACGTATAACGAAGTAGTATATAATACTTTTACTTGATTAAATTCGATTATTTACTGCGTCTTTTCATAGATTTATGAAGGAAATTTCAGCAATCGCGATATTCTTCATCCATTTCTCATAAATGAATCTTTAAATAATCTTTCATCAAATCCTGTATGATAGTTTTTCGTTTGCTTGATACACTTCTACTCGTTCTTCCGTTTTAGTCTTCACGAACCACGACGAATGATCTAACTTATTCAGGTTTATAATAAATTCATCGGTTGTTTGCATTATTACGTCGTTTCTTATTTTATAGAAAAACTTGATGAGAAAACGCGTCGATCAGCTAATGTGAGTTACGACTTTTAATTGTTTGCCGTTCTTTCTGCCTCTTCCTCAGTCTATATGATTAAATTGACGTCAATGGTTAACCACTCCTGATAATTGTTAAGCGTTCATTAGATATTTATTGTTTTTCTTCGACATAGAAGTGATCTGGTTAAAATCAAACAAAATATTAATGAAGTTTAGTTAAATTGAGAAAGGATTTTGTTTAATCATATATCTCTATTTTTTCTTGTCACATCAGATGTTGACGTGTGAGTAATTGATATAATTATTTGCTGTCTCTGTTTCTGACATGACGACATCTTTGTTCTGTCAGAAGATCGATTGAGAACAACTTTGTTAATTCACTCGATGATAAATTAAGATGAATGAAGAGACAATGACAATGAATTGTCTTCATTCATCTCTCTCTCTCTCTCTCTTTCACATACGAGGCAAGCTCACGGTTGAGTAGTAACAATCGTCTCTCTCATTTTGTTGCCTTTCATATTCGTTGTATTTTCTATTGAAAAGAAAACTGCATATATGGGCACCAGCTGGTCGGGTGACATGAATATATTGTGAACGAATGAATTTCAAGAGAATAAGAGAAGGTTGCTCCGTCTATCATCTATATACAATAGGCTCGATTGTATGTGTATTGTCTGACCGAACTCGTGTGGATGTGATAAAATTAATAGTCGTGTTTATCTACATTCGATGGCACACGAACGAGCTTTCCAGCTGCGCTACGAGCTTTCCTCTTTGTAAACATTATGTACGCTTAGCGGTGAATGTAAAAGAGACAAACAATGTAATAAACGTTAGTAGTCATGTTGGTTTTCTCTCTCTCTCTCTTACTTGAAGACATCGTGAGATATGATAATAGATATTCGATTGTTACTACTGCTTGTTTCCGACAATGATAAATGAGTAAAACAAGAGAGGCGAAGAAGCGCTAATCGATTTTGTGTATATATACAAAAGAACGAAGCTTGTGTAATAATTGTTCGACGACATAAACATCGAGATAATAAAGAAAGAAGTCTAATGAGAAATGGGGCTTGAGGAAGAGATTTTCTCTTTTGTTCTTTCGTAGTGATCTTGACGAAGAACTATCATTACAAGCAAAGATCTTCGTTCGTTCGTTCGTTATAAATTGATATCTTTATATACAGTTGTTTATCTACAGATCGGGGCGCAACTCATTCGCCCGAGTACATGATGCCTGCTCGAGATACGAGCCTTTGTCTTTACATTTATTTCACCTTCTCTGTCTTCCGCTGAAAGATTGCAGCAAACAAAAAAATGCAGGAAGAAAAGCGCGAGAAGAAGAGAAGGAGATGATGATTTTTTTTATGTGTCTTGTTTCTCTCTTTCCTGTTCGTATGCCCGCCTCTAGTTAACACATCGCAAGATAAGGATATCTCGCTGTTCCAGTGAAAGGTCTCCCGCATCGATCGACTCTCCCTTTCTCTTCCTCTTTTTCTTTCTCTTTCGATGCATATCACTTTTTCTCTCTTTCCTGTGCTATCAAACAGTGCTACACGTATAAACGACGAGTTTATTTGACACAACAATTATAAGTCAATTTTATTTCATTTCCTTTCTTTTTTCCTCACTAACTGTGATGAATTAATCACTCGGTTCTCTGCTGCAAAACAATACATAAATGTTCTACTACTCTCGACCATCGTATCAGGTATGCATCATAAACTCGAAGTAAAACCTTCAGAGATCAGTCTTCGTACTCGAGACGAAGACCTTCTTTTTTTTTTACAATTTGTATCGGATTAAGAAGAGTAATTGTCACCTTCGTTTTTTAGGTCGGAAAAGAGCGAGAGTAGGAGCAGAGGGAAAAAAAGGTTTTTTTTGCTATTTGATTGTTTGTCTTTAATTGCAATTGATCGAATGAAGACGAAGTGAAAGAAGATAATGCTAATCAATACATTCTCCTGCTCAATCGAACGATGTGAATGTCAGCATGAATTGCGCGCTTACGTCCTTTGATCTCGTGCCGAGTGAGCACAAACAAACGAATCTCTCTCTCTCTCTGATATTCCCCTGATTAGCCAACGTTGATAGCAGTGGGTGATCAAGTTAGTTTTCTTGAATGATACGTTGTTGTTGTTAGTCTTAACTTTCAGAGTAACTGTTGATCTCGGTCGGTTTCTCTTTCATGAAATTTCCTTGTCTTCTAAATGTTTGTTACTAGTAAATATGTGTACGACTATGCTTCGGTTGGAAACGAAGGAGATGAAGGCAAATAATAATAATAATAATAATAATAATAATCGAAGATCACGAGAGAAAATAATTAGAATTGATTTTTGCGATGGCAATGTTTGATGAAGAAAGCACTTGTGCAATTTATCATCTAAGGAAACGAACTAAAGCGTTTACACATGAGATCAATCAAAACAACTTAGATATTAATAGGCTAAAGACGTTCGCTATACAATCATTACATTTTCTTTGTTTTATTAGGTCTATACATCGGATGATTATAATCCCGAGAATACCGGACGATATCCAGCGGGAAAATCGGCTTATGGAAGTGATTCATCCTATTATGTTGGTAAGAGAATTATTAAAAATAGAAAAAAGTATTGAACGAGTTCACGGGCTTTCTTTTTATTTAATAGACGGACAGAATGGTGCTCCTTGGCTGCCCCCGACACATCCACCAAATTCAAGTTATTTGCCGAGTGACCTTGCGGCTGCTCATGGACCTTTTGTTGATCCAGCAACTTCAGGTTTGCCATCGATGGCAAGTTTTCGATCATCACAAGCAGGAATATACGCGAGCAACGAACAAACAGTACAAACTGGAGAAACACTCGGCAAAGCATTGCAATCGGTATGAAATAGTTCGATGGAAATGAGTTTGATATGAATCTCCATTTCTAGATTTATCCCAACGATCATCCGTATTCTTCAACGTCAGCAACTCCCATCTCTCCTCCCCCATTGAACGGTAAATGCAAAAAAAGACTTTTTGATAGTGAGGGATAGAAAATAACCTCATGGTCAATGTATATTTAGGAACTAGTCAGCCATGGGTTACTGCAGGACCGGTTGCTCAATCCTATCACAATCAGCTACATCCTCTTGTAAGTACCAGACGAATAAAGCAAGAAACCGAATGAAAACAATTGCATCTGTCTAATCTCAGACAACGCTAGTCGATTTGAATGACGAACCGTACTATCTGCTCAATCTAAACGAGGTTTGTCAATTGAATTGGGTGGCGGGGGTTTAGTTCTGATAATTTTGGAATAAGAATAAGCAAAGAAAACTAAAACTCACTGTTTTCTAGCCGCCGCGATTAGATGTTGATGATTCTTTTCGTCAACCACCAACAGATTATCATCACTACTATACTGGTTATCACCATCCACATTCCACTGGGCCATATTCAACATTTCTAGCTCATCCATCAAGTTTACATCCACCCTCAACAACGTCCGATACATCATCACGAAGTCGACATCATGATCCATACTTAACATGTAAGATTGCTCTCCACAAAATCAACTATTCTTATCGTTTTGATTCATTTAGATGCTAATCCACCATCAGCATCCTCATCAACATCATCGACGGATGCCAATACTGCTGCAAATCCAGATCTAAAACTTGAATGTCTTGATAAAGCTAAACCAGATATTGAAAATAAGCCACCTCCACCGTCATCTCTATCGAAGAGTACACATAGTGTAGCATCATCTTCATCACAGCTAACGACTGATAAACTGAGTGAATTTAATCTTCGACAACAAACATTAACCGACATTTCACAAGAAAATGCATCACCATTATCGATTGCTATTGGTGGAGCAGCAAATAATGTACATATTGGTCCATCATCATCATCTTCATCAAAATTACGAAAGTAAATATACAACGGTGAACTCTGAAATTTTCGATTTGATCGCCTTGTTCTTTCTTTCGACTAGTTCATTGACGCTTAGTCCAAACAGTCAAATGAATCTTTCATGTATGCGAGGTGGACCTGGTTCAGAAGGTAGTATTGACCCAGATGAAACTCCTGAGGAACGGGAACGACGAGAGAAAGATCGACGAGCAGCAAATAATGCTCGAGAAAGGTAAAAGATCCTCGGTTCCATATCAACATTCATATTTTCATTTAGATTACGCGTTCGAGACATCAATGATGCATTTAAAGAACTCGGCCGGATGTGTTCAATTCATATGCGTAATGATAAACCTGTTACCAAACTAGGTGTACTTCAACAAGCAGTCAATTTAATCACCACACTCGAACAACAAGTTCGAGGTATGAAATTTTGAAAGCATAAGTGAAAAGTACCACCTCTCTTGGATTACTTTTAGAGCGAAATTTAAATCCAAAAGCTGCGTGTCTACGTCGACGTGAAGAAGAAAAATCTGAAGATATGAATGGAAATATGAATATCGGTGGAGCTATGCCGCCGCCAGGTACAAGTCTTATGTCAACTGAATCATCTTCAATTGATGGTACAAATTATTTGGAACAGATGCATCAATCTATTCCTCCATCTTATTGGCAACAATGAAGACAACATAATTTGGTGTGTTTGATTTATCTCTGTACAAGTTCTGTGTGCATGCGTTATTATTACTTGCTTATCGGTGCCTTTGTGTTTTTGTTTTCTCTCTCATTTAAATCTTCTATACATAAAAAAAACTATGAGACAAAATATTGACATGATGAAAACATTGGTTTCGTTTTCTTTTAGTATTTGCCTGTATTTTTTCTTTGTTTGTATATGATCTATTGATGTGTGCAGCAATAAATGTAAGTTGAAATAGAACAAGACAGTATTTTTCTGGTCAACATCTCGTTGTGTGCAATGAATTGACAAATTGTACAAATATCAGACATTTCGTTTCTTTTTTCTTCTATTTGTACATGAAAAATAACACTTCGTTCTCGTCTCTCGTCCATCGATCTGTTAACTGTTTTGTTTTCATTTGTCTGACTTTGGTTTATTTCCTTTCAATTGTCGTGCTTGCTTTGGAATATTTCATCTCTTATCTTTGTTGCTCTACACATATTGATATGTGCACATGTTTAATAATAAAAGAAAGATTTCTTAATTTCTATTAACAGTTGCAGAACAACAAGTCAGAGCAAAGCAGAGTGCATAAAGGAGAGCAAATATCTGACACATTAGAGAATAGGAAGAGGTTTTTGACGTGGCTTGATTTTCTCCGACTGAATCCACTGAGCTTCTTCGTTCATGAAATCATCGAAATTGTTAAAAAAATACAGAATACGATCATTACGAATGAATTTATATTCCCTAAATGGAAACTTCATAGTTAGAAACGAATCGTTTCGCTAATTTCTCTTTACGAACCATTTTCGACAATAACGAAGTTTATGCAAAATTGTAAATTGTTGCCAACGTTTCCAAAAGTTCACAATTCGATCGTCTTGCAAATAATCCGAATTGCCAATATGAACAAATGTTAAATCCGATAGAATCAAACCACTAAAATGAACTTCTAACATTTCCCAACCTACTTTAGTTGATCGAATTACTTACATATACGGTATACAAGGCTGACCTGTGGATGCATTCAAAGCTTCGCGATAGTTTTTAAATGAACCGGTACTGTCGATAAGATCGGTGTGTTCACAAACAGCCTAGAATATACGTTTATTGAGAGTTCAATGAAGAATTCAAGTTACTTCAGTGATATTTTTCGACCAATGCAACCGTTTTAATGGTCCACAATCTAATGCAGAGAGAATCGCTAAGTATGAATTGAAATTATTCAATCGTCTTAAATGCTGAAAAACAAAAATATCCAAATGAATCGATAAGGTCAATGAGATTTACTTTGAGAATTTTGAGAAATTTCTCGAAATAATTTTCCCGTTGTCGCTGAGAGTTTTGCTCCAATATTCGAGATCGTACCCTGTAACAAAAACCAGTCTGACTCACATTCGATGTTAAACTTCTCTCACCAATAGGATATGTTATTAAAATGTTCAGTAAAAACAGCTAGATTCGGCGAATATTCTTCTCCTTTTTCAATCGAAATGTACAAGATTTCGGATAGTTGAATTTTGAGAAATAATTCTGAATCGATCAGTGTTAATTGTTCACTTAGATCGCTTGAATCGAAATCAAGCAAGGTCGCGCGTTTCGACGAGATGGAATTTTTTATCAGAACAATATCTTGATGAGATTGATCCGAATTTTGCTGCAATTTATTGTACCGTTCGAGTGATTTTCGTCGAAGAAGTTTACTTAGTTGAAGTTCACCTTGTCGAATCAATGTTGTGACAAAATGCGAAAGTTTTTTCATTAGGATTTCCGACAATTCATTGCTGAAATACAATGAAATCATTCAGCTTAATACTTTTTCATCAACAAGCTTAGAAAAGGATTAGTGACACTTCTTTCAAATCAGTTATAATGAAGAAAGAAAAGAACATTCATACTCGATTTCGTCGATAACACGAATAAGTAATGAAAACGCATGGCGAGCGACTTTTTTCTTCGATTGAAATTGCGAAAAGAACGTGTAACGTTGTATAAGTTTGTCAACTAAATCACTCGGTGAGATAAATGTTCGATATGTTGTTAGAAACGTTTCTTGATAAAGAAAATCTACGACAATTCGAATGAGTTCTTAGAAAATTTCTAATCGAATTGATTACCTTTCTTATCGGACGATGTCGCTCGGATAATCAAGGCATCGATTGTACCACCACGCAGTGGAGGATCTTCGTTCTATTTGTCAAAATACAAAGACAATGAATGCAAAGGAGATAGTGAACGTACGAGATTGAAGACCAACAGATGAGAGATACTTTCCAGGAAAAGATCACTTGCATATTGATGATGGAGGTCTGAATGTTCGACGAAAAGATTCTCTCTAATCTTCAAACATTCTTCACTATTGGAAAAGATTTGTGATTGAGGAAAATGCTGATGAACTTGTTCGAATAAATCTTCAAAGCGTCGTTGTGATGGAGTTACAAAGCACGTGTTACGAAGAAATAGTTCGGCTTCGTTTTGATCATATCGATCAAACAATGACATATACGCTCGAGCTAAAATTAAGAGAAGTCGTTTAAATAAATTTTCAACAACATCGAAAAGTGAAAGTCTCCGGCTTCGTTTTTACAGTACTTTATGTACAATTAAACTTCTAGTTCAATTAAATGAACGAATAAAAATTACCGATTTGTCGTTTGGGAGGTAATGGCGGTGGATTGTTGGTTAAATCTGTCTGCTGTTGTTCGGCAACATCATTAAGACTATTCTCTTCATATGGAAAACTATCGCGCAATGAATATCTTGCCGAGTGTCTTTCGAAGATCGTATCGATACTATTACGACGACATGATGATAAATAAGAATGACTTTGCTGAGATATGTAATCAGATGAGGGTGAGCGTATGGTCGTTTTGGCACGTACAGCATCGTCAAGTTCACGTGTGTATTTCTTAATGATCTGATTGATATCATCGACAATTAATTGAATACGCTCTTCGTTATTGAAGTCATAGGATGGAGGAGATAAGAATGAACTTGGACTGGCATTAATGCGAGATCGTGTGGATGTTATCGATGCTGTCGAGCTCACCGGTCGTTTTTCTCGTTTAGGAGGAAGATGTGGAATCGACTCTTCGAGTGAACTAAAATATCAACGTAGTAAATAGATCAATCATTTCATCACAATCATTACTTATTGTATGATTGAAAACTTTGTATAGACTCGGAACGCATTTGTGATGTCGAATTAATACAAGTCTGCAAAGAAGAAAGAACAACTCTTGTAACGTTTTATCCGATAGATTTCTGTTAGTTACCTTCACGGCCGTCATGAGATCTTTAGCAAGCTTACGATACCGATCGTCATCATTCACTTTGGAAAAAAGTAATCTATCCGACCATTCAATTAAATCCGCTAATAAATGATATATATCAAATAAAACATAAGTTCTACAAAACGAATTGGCTGCAGAAGAGCATGACTATTTGAACAAGCGTGTTTTTACCTATATGAATCGGATTGATATTCAAAGATGCTTTTCAAGATATTGTCAATATCAAAGATATTATCAATTAATGATGTCATAATATTCGCAAGAATTTCTAATTTGTTATGTGTTAAAACTTGATCGAGATAACTTAAAGATTTACAAACTTCCTTTTCACATTTATGCAATCGTTCATAATATGTTTGCGATGACTAGAATGAACAACAAGAAGAAGACGATATAGTAAACAATCGATTGTTTATTTAATTCTAACATACTGATAATGAATCATTACTAATCAACGAATTCCGATCATTTGTTTTGTTTGATCGAGTTGTATTCCAATGATATCCATTCGTTGAGTCAGATCTCATATGATAACGATTGACCATATCGCCAATAACACGACGAAAGGAATTTCGTGAAACAGGCATAGTTATGTTCGTCGATGGGAATTACACAAGAGTGTGTAATGGCGTCAAAATGCCAGTGGATAGCAGGAAGAAAAATCTCACTTATTCAATGAGCAATATGTCCGAGTGATGCCAACAGTGGTGCATTGAACTGTTGTCAATGCTCTCACAAGCAGGTCAATGACGTGAGTTCGTAGTTGCAAGAGCAAAGAATAACATCGCTTCTCGCCAATACCGATCAATCATCATCATTATAGTCGTCGTCGTCGTCGGCTTTTCTATCGTCGTATGGTCTAGTAATGATAGTAATGCACACGAGCACGCGCTGAACGAAGTCATAGTATGGCATCTATCATTATCTGGAGAAGTTGATAGGAAAAGAAACAGAATAGAAAAGAGAAAAGAAAGCGAGATGTGCTGTAGCACATTTTTGCATCAATAGAGAAATGTATGAGAAGCAATAAACAAAACTAGTCGTTCAACACTCGACTCATTCGATCAGATGGACGGGAAAAAATGATGTGTTGACAAGTTGTTTTTCTATTGAAGAAAAACAACGAGAGAAAGGGACGAGCGCTTGTCTGTCGATTACAAGAGCGATCATCGATATCAATGTAACTTTGCCTTTACCTATTGTAATAGAATACACAATAAAAAGAAAAATTCAATTAGATGAATAGATCTCATTGTGAATATCTGATGAGATGTCATTAATCAAAATTCAATAGAACAAATATTATGTACATCTTCAAGTCTAACTATTATGTTGACTTTACATCAATCATTGTCAAATTTTTTAATAAAATCAAACGAATATATAACCAAAAACTTTCAGTTCGATAGAAGCAGATCAATAATTGATATTCTCTGACGAAAACCTTTAGAGAATTTTATTCTTTGATCTTCTCTTATTTCTCTCGTGTCTAATAGCTATGATTAAAAAACGAAGATTCACTCGAGATATTCACAAAAACATATTTTTCAAGATATTTACAGTGACGACAAAAACGGAATAGAATATAAATACAATATTAGATAGTTGACACTACTAGGAAAATATTGAATATACAATAGCTTTTTTCGAGCGACAGAATTAGAAGATGTAGCGGAAAATGCTCTTCCGTGATCACTTTTATGATCTGAACTTCAAGTATAACATTGACTTCACCACATGTCGACATCAACACTCAATAATAATGATCAATTCATATCTCCTATCCAAAAAAGACATCGTATAAGAAAATCTGCACTTTATTTCACACACTTTTACATTTACAGACATAGATACTTTTCGCCTTTGCGAATCAACACTCGATGAATTTGTTCATCGCGCTCTTCTCTCTACTGTAGCGGTAGCCATTACAGGAGCCACTCGATTCTGTGTTTTCATCCACTTGATGATAGCCCATTTTTGCCAAATACTCGGCAATGACACCAGAACAACGTATGGCATCAGTAACGGAATAAAATAAGCGGTAAATGCAAGTACAGGAAATAAATTAATAAGAAAATTATTTAAGAAGCCTAAGTGGATTGGCATGGCTGAGATCAAACATGGTAGATAGAAGATCAAGTATAAACAACAAACAGACAGCATTTGTACGATCATTTTTCGATGTTTACGCCATTGAATGATTTGGTCAATACGCTTTTTCTGTCGAATCTGCCGTACGATTAATCCTACATTGAAGATAACAATTGTTAACATCGGGATGTAAACATTAACTATAAAATCATAATTGCCAACAATTTGTTGGTCAATATAGCATGGATAACCACACGATGGTTGACTGTAATCATAAATATTACTACATGACGGAAAGAAAATCACCCATATGTAGAAAACAATACCATAAAAAGTGACAAGTGTGAGAGGTAAATAGTGAAAAAGAAAGCATTTTCTTGTCGAGTTCATCCAGGCACTGTGATAAACAAGAATATGTCTTTCCATCGATCCAAGTGCCATTAAAATAGCAATCATATCGAAAAGGCCAACGGTGACAAATGACCATATATTACAAAACCATGGGAATGCTAACCAGACATAACCCGTACTCAGAACTACTATATAAGATGGAACGTCGATCAGAAGTACCCAAAGAATAACGAAGAGAAGTACAATGACAACATGATTATGTAGAGCTTGTCTAAGATCTCGTTTTAATAAGAGATGATACAATAGAAAAAATGAACAAAGTACAGCGGGAATGTCAAGAACAAGAAGTAACCAGAAACGAATTTTTGGAGGAATGGGCCTATAAATATTTCCAAAAGTGTCACCTGTATTATTTGAAGTATTTGCGGACATTCTCGGATAATGTAGTTCAATTTTTCAGATACAAGTGAAGTATCTACCGTGTAGACTACTGATGGAAAAGAATAATGAGAAGTTTTATTTGCGATGATTATAATACGAGAAAAATTATAGATAGCTAGTCATAGCGCGTGAACTTCATGGAAATAAACACTTTGATGTCCGATAATACTCAAATAGAACAATCCATGGGATGAAAGAAAATGCGTTATAATTTGTAATACCTTAATGGCTGACTAGTTTAATGACGTAGATAGAGTTTCCAGAGAAATGAACACGTTTGAACAACGCGGTAGAAATACTGAGCAAGCAGAAGCCAAGCTTTTCAACTATGGTAATAGAAAATAAAGGGAGGATTTTGATAAGAAAAACAGAAGTGCTATTCCTTTGATGGAATTTACACCCTCATTCCTCATATATTGTAAGATGTCGAAAGTTTTGATATGAAAATATCGATACGAGCGAAGTGTAGGATTTGCAGTTATATAGAGAACAGTGCTGGAATCCATCCATACTTCCCCCTATACTTGCAAGACAAAAAATGCGAAAATCTTTTTCTGATAATACAATGCATTTTGGGATATGTATTGAAATAGTAATACAGAATAAATGTTTAATTAATGAATATATGAAAGGATAGATTAAAAAGGATTAGTATACTGCGAAGTTCGTGATAATTTTGATCGGAAAGTATTTGTTCGAACATTCCATATCATTTTAACTTTAACATTCATATGGTCAGGAGGAAGCCAGTTTGTTGGTGACATATTTGCTTTTCCGTAAATTTTATGATTAATCTTGCACGCTTTCATAGCATTACTACAACAGAAACACGCTGGTTTCGATCCGCCAATGCCCCATGGTTTGGCTTTGCCCACTGAATTATCTTCTTTTAATATTCCTGACTTTTTCCAAAAGTGAAGGATTTGCATCTCACCATGTGGTGCTCGACAAGTTTTCGGATCAGTTGGAGGAGGATCAGGCTCTAAGAAGATCACTTTGTAACGTCCACCGAGAAGATGTTTCATACGAAGTTCAGAGCAGATTTGTTTACATTGTTCCTCAGTTACTGCGTACGTTTCTTGTCCGTTTTCTTTTCCAATTTGGTTGAATGCGATATATACAGCCTCTTTATAAATACCTACGAGTACCGTGTTGTATCGTCTCTCCTTTGGTTCCACGTCTTTATTTAGTTTTGCGTGAATAATACTCCCAATAAGATTTGCATCGTGCCTTAATTTTCGCGATTCATCCGAGACAACTTCCAGACTAATGTCATCCTGAGTAAAATTTACTCGATCTGCCACATGAACTGCACGAGTATCGGTAGGAAACTCGTCAGCGTGCGTGGCTTGCTGTTTAAATTCATCTAGTGCTCCTTGATAATTTTCACGTACTGTTTGACTAGCACGTTCACCAAACGTCGATATTTCCAGCTTCAATTTACTTTTTAATTGATTTTCTTCTGTCAAATTATCATCAAACCATCTATTTAATTCTCTTACTTTTCCCTTAATATCGCTCGCTTTGTCGGTGCCTTGTTCATCATTTGCGACAATTTCATTAATTTCACGTATACATTCTTGAATTCTACTTCGAATTTTTTCTGATAAATTTGGATTTTTTTTATAGATTTCCGTCAAAGCTGTTTTAACATTTACTACAAGTTTTTCATACAAAACATCTGGCTTGTACTTCTTTTCATCAATTGCTCCGCCATAACTTCCTTTTTCGATGCCAAATTTGTGCCATCCTTGAGCGATCGTATATTGAAGACTTTCATCGTTTTCAATATAATTTGATAAATAGTCTCGAAACACTTGACCATCTGAAAAGATGACTTGCAATTGCGGAACTTCACTTATTAGCGCTTCATAAAAACAATTGTTTTGCATTGCTTTGCCGTTTTCGACACCAGTAACGCGAAAGTGATTATCCTCAAGTGTTAAACATATTCGATGCGACGGATTCGTTGAACTTGAATATTCATGGGATGATCCGTCACTACCTTGAACGACAATACAAATTCCAGTGAACACTTCTTTACCGTCAACAGCTGGACAGACACGCATACATTGGTCGACAACATTAGTACATGCTTGAACACACGTCATATCCATCGGAATATTTGCACGTAGAATACTCGCAAATAACTTCGCATTTCTTGTTTTTCCAAGTAATTCAATGAGTGCTTTGTGATAAGCTTTAGCTTCTCTCTCGCGCTCTTCAACACTGAGTTTTTCATCTTTGACTTTGCTATCGAAGTCTTTTTTCAACCTTTCAAACTCCTGCCGATATTTTTCTTCTTTGTACGATCGATATCCCTTCTTAATCGAATCACCCACATATCCAACTAGGTAGTTGACACCATAGGATAAGACGGGTGAAATGACATGTGTAGCAATAACTTGATTAGATGTTTCGATGATTGTTTGTTTCCATTGTTGCATTGTCGTATCACAAAGATGTTGCATATTTTGTGAACCGGTTGCAGATACATTTGATGATGTGTGTTCAATAATTGCTTCGTCAATCATTTGATTAGCGTTTTCAAGAAATTTTGCAGCTGAATCTCTCATTTTTCTCATCTCATCTAAAACACCGCAAGCTTTTAGGAGAGACTGAAGATTCATCAAAAATGCCATCATTTTTGAAGTCGAAGTTGCGCCACCTGCAATATTAACTTTGCTCATACCTTCAGATATCCCACGTGTAATTGATCCAGACAAACGCGTGCAATGAGCAAGAATTGTCGTATAAAGTGGTGTCTTTTCAAAGCATTCTCTTGTCACATGATCCTTCAGTAATCTAGCCTTCTCTCCTCCCATTATATCAAACGCTTTAAGTATAGTTTGGTTAAGTTTATGAGTTCGAAACAACTCGTCAACATCTGCAGCTGAAGTCTTTTGAATCGCGTTGCATAGGCCATGTAAATAGTTCGTAACGATCTGAAGGTGTAGAAACGATTTGAATTGTATAAGTTGAAGAAATAAAATGAAACTTACATGATCAACAGCACCCTGAGCAAAGCCATAAGCTGCTCCTTCAACTACTTTACAAGCCACGCGTTTTACAGTTTCTTTTGCGACTTTGCTTATGCCAACAGATTTCAACAGTTCTGCACCAGCCATCTCGGCCACTTTTTTGCCACCTTCGGCTCGCACTGGTCCTGCTACTTTGTAACCTATTCTCGACAATTTTGTACCACGTGAATAAAGAGCACCAATTCCACATGAAACTGCCGATATCGCCATACTCCATTTTTTATGTTCCCAATAACTCGACATGGTCATGTGCCCGTGGCACAAACAACCAGAGACAAAAAACAAATCACTAATCCCTACAAGTAACGCGGCTTAGTAGCCGCTGACCCTCTACTGAAAGGATATCGTCCAATGGCATCTATTTTTTAGAAGAAACGCTAGATTGGGCAAAAAGTTTTGCAACACTTTGATATGAGGACGAGGGTGAAATGGTTGCAGAACTTTTTGCCCAAACGAATAAAATCTATTTTATTTCGATAGCGCAGTTATTCGATAATTTGCTTCAGACTTTCACTCATATTCATTTGATACCTCAAAAGTTTCTCAGACTAATGCCTAGTCGTTCGTCGGCCTCGCTCTGGTCAGCCACTCGCGACTACCCGTTAGTAAATACTAAATTTTTCTCATATTTTCCTAGAAAANTCAATGAATAAAGAAAACCTAACAGCAGATTCGGGATCTCCGACCTCGGTTACCCTTCAGTAGACCCTTACTCGACAGCGTAGAAAATTTTCATCCCTTAATTAGCTAATTAGCTAATGAGCTAATTGGAATTTCGAGAAACTAATTTCAGATTCGAGATCCTCGACCCCGATTACCCTTCGGTCAACCCTTACTTGACAACGTAGAAAATTTTCCTCTATTAATTAGCTAATGAGCTAATGAGCTAATTGGAATTTCGAGAAACTAATTTCAGATTCGTGATCCTCGACCTCAATTACCCTTCGGTCAACCCTTATAAAAAAAAATATTTTTGCAAAAAAGTGATCCCTGTCGCAAAAAACGTGACAGAAACTTTTTGTCAAAAAACTAATGCCGGATTCGTGATCCTCGACCTCGATTACCCTTCGGTCAACCCTTAAGATGGTCACGTGTGTTTCAGGTATATATATACTATATGAACGAAATAAAACGAACGGACGAACGGACGAACGAACTTTAACTCAAATTCTGTGTATACCCTCCTTTCAGTAGAGGGAAAAATACAAGAATACTCCTAGACAACCTCAACAGAAAATGATCAATACCTTCATTAATGCAAAAAGATGCGGCATAGGTACCTATACCAACAGTAGAAATTTCAATTAATGCACCGATAGTAATCTGTGCCAGTGCCATAGAGCTAATAATTAAAACGTTTCTCCAAAATTTCCATGAGTAGGGTTGCTCTTGTAAAACAATGAGATCTTCCATTCCGTTCAGTGAGAACCATGCGGCTTCAACAATGGCGGAATTCTCTTGCGCTTTCAATGTACTTTCGAGACTAGTGAAAGAGCAATCCGGTGTTTCGAATTTTTCAATACCACAACACAACCGGTCCAAGCTTTTCTTGATGAAATCGTTGCTTTGTTCTTTTATTAAGTTCACACGATCTCGAGCGAGTGTCTGTTGAAAATGAGAAAGAAGCTTTTTGAAATCTGCTGATTGAACTTTTGTATAAACTACATAAGAATCTTCTATAATCGAGTTTTCTGTTAAATCAAAGATTAGTCGTTGATAAGGATTGGAAATTAACTGAAAATAAAACTTTGAATTCGTTTCTTTCGCTTTCGAATATTCTTGTAAATGCATATATGCCAATCGATAAGCAAACTTGAAATTGAGAAGTGCTGCAATGACATCGTGATAACAAATGGGTAATGACGAACAATCAATATGATTTTTTAATTTATATTTTCCATTTGATTGTTCCGCCAAAACATTCACTTTCTCTTGACTGAGACTTTCCAAAATCATCATCGCTTCGTCATCAGCGATTTTGAGACGTGTAAGATCTTGAAAATTTAGCGAATCAAACTTTGAAAAGCTTTGCTCTTTGCAAATTTGTTCTGAGTTAATCATCGCTTTTCGATTCATCGAATAAATTCCTCTTTCTTCGAGATACTGTTTTTCGTGCGACTTCAAATCTGAATAGAATTTTATGGAACATAAAGTGTTATTTTCTTCCGTCGACAACGGGTACTGAAATATCTCCATAGACTTTAACTTTTTAAATGAATCGTCAATTTTATGAGTGTTAATCGCATTTGTGATTGTTGAATGCTCAATGAGTTGAAGTTTTTGTGTATTGACAACGATAAATTCAATTTCATCTTTAATTACCTTTGCATTTTTCAACATTGACCAAAATTCTTCCACATTCGGCAAATGAATTGCATTCTTCATTGATTCACTCGTCACAAACTTCATCGATCTGTTTGCTCAGTAATCTTTCCTGAATTTGTTGTATTTCTTGCGACATGTTAACTATAACACCAGTAACCTCGAGGATTGATCGATTTCCTCTTGTATGAATTGTTATTTCGACAGATTTCAAATAAAATCGAATCAGTTGAAGTAATTGAGTTTCGCAAAATAAATGATCCGATGTTAAATTTTCGGCCGCTTGCAGAAAAGCTCGAAGTTTTCGTGACGAATTTTTTCCTGGTGTCACTTTCTTCATCTGTGTTTTGAAATAATGAGCAGAAAACGATTGTGCTTCACAGTTGTCCTTAAACTTTTTTAACTCGTCATACGTTGACTCTGAGATAAGATTTTCTTGAAAACATACAACAAGACGCTGGAGGACTTGTAATTCAGCATTACCGCTTGTTGTTTTGTCCAAAATATTTTTCCATATGTAAACCTTCAAGTTCACAATGAAATTCGTCAAATCCAGTTCATCTACGAGACTCGAGTATAATTTCAGTTGAGTAGCATAAATTCCTGCTTCACATAAGTCTAGCAGATCAGGAATTGTAGCGATTCGATCGGAGAAATGTGTGAATTTGTTCACAAATTCTGCACTGCTACACAATTGTTGAAATTTCTTTTCCAATTCGATACGTGCGCAATCGATAAGAATTTTCACAAAGTAATTTTCAATTAACTTGACATCTGCAGCATGTGGTAATTCACCATCAGGCAATTTCGCGAAAACTAATTTCTTGGTTCTGTCCAAATCCAACTGTTGTTTACATACTGCATCGTCCACTATGTCTGCAACTTCTGTGGCGAACATAATCAATCGAAGCCCTAAAATGTGCTAAAATATGACGTATATCTGCAGTTAGTTTGGTCTATCTTAGAACATTAACGCCAACTTGTTTTCCTCTTGTGGAATAATAAGAACGAAGAAAGTGATCACGTCTGGAAAGGATCTGATCGTGTTAGTAATCAACCGCTGAAGGAGACAAACATTTCCTATAGCTCGTTAATTCAATTGTACGATCATCTCTCTAGTGTAAGTCTCTTACGTTTGTGCGCTACTAAGAATATGAACCGTCGCGCAGGCTTCTATAAAAAGGATCATTTTGTCTCAGAAAACCAAAAACTGTAATCGATTCTTGTTATAACGCGCTGGTAGAATACGAACAAAAATATCGTCGATGCTTTATAATAGTTGAGATCCTTACTCTCCAAACGTGTCAGAGATTAGTAATTACATCAGAAACAGCGTCTAGCCAAGAGAAAGAAAAAACAAATATTTGACATCGCGACGCGAAGTAAACAAATACAGCAGAAGAAAATGTTTTTGGCCAATAGGTAATGTTGACCCCAACTAAACTAATAACATATGAGTTTGAGAAAAAAATTATTCTCAAACATATTTTCGATAATCTGATACGATCTATAGACAACAGATGTACCCAGAAGTCGATTGACATCGATCCAAACAAACAAAGCGACAAAAGAGCGTATATGCCAAGAATAACTGTCATCACGCTCCGAAAAACACTAGAACGTGCATAGTATTTTAAGTTGTCACACATACTTGTCTTCGAATTATGCTGCTTGTTCGTATCGTCTTTTTTATGATAAATATAAAGTACTTGTGGTGCTATTAATAGACGTTGAGGCATGATCGGTATAATCCATTTCTTCGTTCTCTTTCTTTCGTTCTTTTTGGAATTTTCCCGCAGCAAAATCATCTCGAGTATCTTTCTCAGATAGATATCTCTTGGTATAACAGACTAACGAATGATTGACTGGTTAACTTTATCTGACATCCGCGATTATTTAACTTGACTGTAACAAATATCTATCTTCCATGATGTTGACGATAAAGATGAATCAGGCGAGCGGTGCGTTCCTTTTCGATTGGCGACAGTTCAGTTCTATCGTGATTAACCTTTTTTATTCGTTAGCAATTCATATCTGAAAGGATACTTTACATTTCAAAAAAGTAAATAAGGAGTTGGTTTTCATAACCGAATTGCTATTGTTATGTGAAACGACTATATCGCCTACTATGAACAATGACAATGCTCACATCAAACAATCCGTATTAAAGAAGAAAGTTTGTCTGTCGGCTTGCTATACATAGAGTTCCTGTAACAGCTAAAGTTGCGAAACTTTTCACGCTGCCTTCGCAAACCCAGAGGAAGGTGAATATGAAGTTGAGGAATGTAGGTGAAGGTGTGGGTGAATGTGAAGGATAAGAGGTATGAACTAATGAGAGTGAGAACGAATCTCACTGAAAGAGGCAATTTTAATAATTTCTGATGCAGAAATTATCTTCGGCAACTCTTCTGCATAAATAGATGTAATTGAAGTCGTCGTTTTGTGCGATGCATGGTGAGAAAGATAAGAAGCGCAAGCATAGAAATTCGAAATATGTTGATTTTTCCGTCTACTGCAGCTCAACACGTGAGACGTTCAACACAGATATTTTTTATTTGCCACTGCGTGTCTTCACTAGTTACTTTTATGATCTGAACTTCAAGTATAACATTGACTTCACCACATGTCGACATCAACACTCAATAATAATGATCAATTCATATCTCCTATCCACAAAAGACATTGTATAAGAAAATCTGCACTTTATTTCACACACTTTTACATTTACAGACATAGATACTTTTCGCCTTTTCAAATCAACACTCGATGAATTTGTTCATTGCGGTCTTCTCTCTACTGTAGCGGTAGCCATTACAGGAGCCACTCGATTCTGTGTTTTCATCCACTTGATGATAGCCCATTTTTGCCAAATACTCGGCAATGACGCCAGAACAACGTATGGCATCAGTAACGGAATAAAATAAGCGTTAAATGCAAGTACAGGAAATAAATTAATAAGAAAATTATTTAAGAAGCCTAAGTGGATTGGAATGGCTGAGATCAAACATGGTAGATAGAAGATCAAGTATAAACAACAAACAGACAGCATTTGTACGATCATTTTTCGATGTTTACGCCATTGAATGATTTGGTCAATACGCTTTTTCTGTCGAATCTGCCGTACGATTAATCCTACATTAAAGATAACAATTGTTAACATCGGGATGTAAACATTAACTATAAAATCATAATTGCCAACAATTTGTTGGTCAAAATAGCATGGATAACCACAATATGGTTGACTGTAATCATAAATATTACTACATGACGGAAAGAAAATCACCCATATGTAGAAAACAATACCATAAAAAGTGACAAGTGTGAGAGGTAAATAGTGAAAAAGAAAGCGATTTCTTGTCGAGTTCATCCAAGAACTGTGAAAAACAAGAATATGTCTTTCCATCGATCCAAGTGCCATTAAAATAGCAATCATATCGAAAAGGCCAAAGCTGACAAATGACCATATATTACAAAACCATGGGAATGCTAACCAGACATAACCCGTACTCAGAACTACTATATAAGATGGAACGTCGATCAAAAGTACCGAAAGAATAACGAAGAGAAGTAAAATGACAACATGATTATGTAGAGCTTGTCTAAGATCTCGTTTTAATAAGAGATGATACAATAGAAAAAATGAACAAAGTACAGCGGGAATGTCAAGAAGAAGAAGTAACCAGAAACGAATTTTTGGAGGAATGGGCCTATAAATATTTCCAAAAGTGTCACCTGTATTATTTGAAGTATTTGTGGACATTCTCGGATAATGTAGTTCAATTTTTCAGATACAAGTGAAGTATCTACCGTGTAGACTACTGATGGAAAAGAATAATGAGAAGCTTTACTAGCGATGATTATAATACGAGAAAAATCATAGATAGCTAGTCATAGCTCGTGAACTTCATGGAAATAAACACTTTGATGTCCGATAATACTCAAATAGGAGAATCCATAGGATGAAAGAAAATGCGTTATAATTTGTAATACCTTAATGGCTGACTAGTTTAATGACGTAGATAGAGTTTCCAGAGAAATGAACACCTTTGAACAACGTGGTAGAAATACTGAGCAAGCAGAAGCCAAGCTTTTCAACAGATAAAGGTGACGGAATTAGCAGATTGTTAGGAAAGCAGTTGAAAACCTTTTCAACTATGGTAATAGAAAATAAAGGGAGGATTTTGATAAGAAAAACAAAAGTGCCGCTGCTCTGATGGAATTTACACCATCGCCCTCATTCGAATATCCTCTCTCAAGTATAACGATTATGTGATCAACTAACTGATGTTATCGCTGACAAATATTTCAAAAAGTATTCGATCTCTCTCTCTCGCTGGAAAATCCTTCATCGTCATTTTACCTTCTTCTTTAGAATCAGTCTTGTTGACATAAGTCGTCGATTATTGTCTCTCCTCAACTATTCTCTAATTTGTTCCCATCTTCCAAATTTAGCCAATGACAACGAGGAAAATTTCGCTCGTAAACTCAATTTCTTTCATCAATCAATTCTTTCAAGCGTTCCATGTTCACTACCACTCGAACTTCTACTTCAACAAATTCATTTCAAATCTCGTTCATATCGTCAATGAACATCTTTCTTTGTGTCTGTGTATAATACTTAGTCCAGTTCAACTTCATTCTTTTCTCTTTCTTTTTCAAATACAAACAGCCAACTAACTAGTTAAACAAGGTCTTGTAAACTTTGTCATCTTTTTCAGATATGCAATCATCTCCATCATTGATTTTGACGTTGGTCAAACAAGCGCGTTAAACATTTGCGAATTTATTATCTACGGAAGAGCCGAAATCGAATCCAAGTGAACAAATCGAGTCAATAAAACGTTTGATGAATAAAATCACGAAATATGATGTAAATTTCAGATGGAGGCGTCAGGATAAGTATAGAATGATTTGCTCGAAATCAAACGTAAACTTTTTTCCAATGACTCTACGTCGTCTTGATCGTACAGATATCTTTTTCCGTTAATACCGTCGCCGCAAATGGCCCATTGAAAATTATTCTCTCGCAAATACGACATTTTCTATATCATTTTGGCTAGAACCATTTGTTTCACTCCAGTATGCCAAGTCACTGTTAACTCTCCCTGCTTTGAAATACAGTTGTATTGAAGTTCAAGATCAGGTGGATCAACAATTACCCAGGTCGATCATTCTGACGACTGGATCCGTTGAAATCTGAGTCAGATCCAATACAGCTCTTCTCAATTCCGGCACAGTTTTCGCCGATTCCAGTAGGTTCCTGGCCGGCCGGAACCGACCGTGCTATAATAACCTAGGTATTCGCATTTCTACATGAACAAAAAAATAAATGAAAACAAATACTTGTTCAGGTTCGAAGGTCATGTTTTTCTTTTATCGACTGCGAGACAAAAACTTTTCTTCATTCGCAATCCACAATTAAACTATGATGCTTCTTTCTTCTCATTCACTTACCATTTACAATTTCTTCTTCTTCGTCATCGGACGATTCATACGTTGCCGGTTTGATGACAGTTGTACGGTTCATTAACTTATGGTACAGCTCAATCCATTCGGCTAAAAGATTATTAGGATTAACAAGGAGGAGCATGGCGTTTCTCTCATTGACTCGCGTGCTATTCGTGCTACTGCCAACAACCATCCATAAGTTTTTGAGATCTTCTATGCGCACCTTCTTATCTAACAAAGTTGATAGATATTCGTTTAAAGTATCTCCAAAATGCGATAATAAAAGCTGTAAAACTTGGAACATTGGAATGCCACTTTCTCTTTTAAAATGGATTCAGTCATGGTTGTTGAACAGATCATTCTCAATCTCATTTGGTAACGTACACTCAAGAAATATTCCAATGCATGTTGGTGCTCCTCAAGGTTCTGTATTAGCTGCCGCGTTGTTTCGATTGCACGTTCACTTTCTTCCATCATTCTTCTTCGGTTTATCTGTTCATATGTTCGCAGATGACCTCGCGATTGTCTTAACGGGGTCTCTTGAAAAACGCCTCTCTCTTAACATAAGTGATCTCGAAATGCGTGCAAAAGACGTCATGAAACAACTTGAACTTTTCTCAACCAATTCGCTTCTACCGGTAAATACAAACAAAACAAAAGCACTCTTAGTACACAGCGCAGTATCACCTAGCTATCCAAAAATCAATTACAAACAACAAAGCATCGAATACTTCAATTGTTTGAAATATCTTGGCGTCTACACATAACCACCAAACTAGGATGGAGTTTATTTATTAATCATAGAATACGAACGATAAGAAAAATCTACAAAGCAATGCGAATAATATTATGCACAATACCGATCAATCTCACTTCAACGCGTCGAAAAAATATTTCTTGCGTTCGTATTGCCTCATTTTGGTTGGCTTTTCTGCGCTTGGTTTTACTTTACTGAAAACCAAAAAAGAATGATAGAACACGTCTTTTGCTCTGGTTTACGAATCCTCTACGCGTTGAATCGATGGGATGATTTATCAACATTAATAATATCTAGAGAAAAGAGTCTTCGTGATGATATATATTCGTATTGGTATCAATTCGCTCTACACATAGAAAAAACACTCGATGGTCTCGATTTTCAACTGTCATGGCAAGCTTTTCAAACAATCAAATCGAACAGTAAAGACTGGTATAAAACCATGGGGTTTCGAGAAAACAGCTTTTTTTCACGACGATTAATAGAACGCGCCCAACACTCGCTTCACGATTGGAACCAGTTAAAAAATGCGCACAAAGATCAATTTCTATTTTATAAAGAAAACACACTGTACCTGAATTGCTTCATTTACGAATATTTTCTTGAACCGGGATAATCATGATTTCTTGCACCGACAAACAAGCGAATTCCAGTGGTGTCGAAGATGCAGGTGACGTAGCTCAGTGAATTATCGTCGTTGTAATCATCGTACGACGGTAATCGAATTCTTCATGTGTTGATGGAACAGATAATCGATGTGGTGATCAGTGAAAATACATAGGTATAGCGAATAAAAATCGATTTTACTAATGAACGAATACTGAATGCATCACTACTCTAAACGAAATTTCTTTAAATTCGTACCTTTCACACTGAACACCGAATTGGTCGGGCCCTGAATCAAATCGAATCTATTGGAAGAAGAAGAAAAAACAAGTACATATATCAGATTATACATAAACGTTCCTCTTTCATTTACTAATAGATGTGTATAGTGTACATATCTACTCTATTACATGTTCATTCTTTTTCCTCTCTTATATCATAGATAATATATGTATATTATACCACATACGCATTCTTCATTCTTCCTCGCTTCTCTCGATAGGAATCACGTGTGAGAATAATATGACTTTTTTTCACCGTCAGAAAACCAAATTCGTTGGGCAAAAGGAACCGCGTACTCCTATCAGGCAGTTTTACGAACACGTCAAACATTCAACTTTAGCTGAAATTATTTGAGCCGTTTTCCTCCAGAAAACAGAAAACTATCATTGAAATTCGTTGGTGTTCGGATAAAATCTTCATTTTTGTTCAATTATTGGAAAGATAGGAAAGTTCATTCAAATATAGGAAGTATAGAGGAAGTTTTTAAATGTAGCAAATACACAAAATATACGACGATTACGAAAGCAGTTTCTTCGGAAGAACTATCATAAATATGAACTCAACAATTATTTCCATTGCCATACAAACAGTAGTTTTGAGAGACAACTTATATTGCATTCTGTATTTCTTTCCTAAACACAGAGAGCACCAAATTTCACTCAACTATATTGAGAATCTTAATGTGAACAATATTCGGTCATATTTCACCCACACCCTCAGGATGCCGCAATCAACAAACTTCTTCTTTTCAACTGTCCGCAGTCTATAATTTGTTTTTTCTTTAGAATACAAAAAAATTCACTTTCTATATAAATAAATAGATTTTCTATATACATTTGAAGAATACTATCACAAAGATATTGTTGGGCCGGTATATTGCAATGATTCCGTATAATACTCATCATCAAATATTCGTTTTAAAACATAATTTCCTTCACGATCATCAGTGACGTCCGTTGTTGTTGTTGTCGATGATGGTATTGCAAGAAAACATGTGC